GGAGGGGAGGGGCAGAGGTTTTCTAAACTCTTTCGAAGATCTTTGCAACTTTTGGAGCTTTATAAAGTATATTTGAGTTGTGCCTGCCTGGTGGGAGAGGCAAGCGGATGAGGGTGATGATGCGGCTTTATGGGGGTGCGATGAGGGTGAGGCATCGTTGCACATTTAGTTGGCCTGCTTGCTTTTTTGAGTAAGTCCCAAGAGTTTTAAAAATTAGTTCCCTTTCGTTTTGTATCCCCACAGCTACAAACAGCCTATGGCTATCCCTGCAGGACAGCAGAAACAGGCAATTTACAAATTGCCAAATCCTCTTAATGCAGAGTTAGTCTGGTATTTATTCCCACCCATTAAGGGGCAGTGGACTGCAGGACTGCTAGTCATATTTCCCCCTTTCTCCATTTGCTGCTGATTTATAGCCAGTAGCTCTTCTTTCCCCTTCTCCTGCTCCACCGTAGTGCCCTGAGAGGAGAAAAGGGAGAGCTGAGGCTCCCTTTGCTCCCCTGTCCTGGCATTCCCTTTGACCATCTATTTCCAAGAGTGAGAAGGGGAGTCAGAGCCTCCCAGAAGCTGTTCTCTGCTTTTCCCCAAATCTGAAAACCACATAGGTTGCACAAGGCAACACATGGTCAGATCATTCCCCTCTTCAACATGCCCTCTAATGTCAGCCTACTTGTTTCATGAAGAAAATATTTTAGTGATTCATTCTTTAAAAATTTCTTGAGTATCATGGATTTTTTCATCCCCTTCTGACAACTGCAAGAGACCGTTACTGTTCATTAATGCTACCAGTCAAGATTTTCTCTGCGTGTCAGAAAGAAATTAAACTTAATGGCTATTGGTGTTAGGCATTTAATAGGAGTATTCGAGTTTTTACAGGATTTGGTCCTGTAAAATGATGCTCAGCATTGTCAGGAGTGGTTGTAATAGACCATGAGGTTAGTGTGTTGGACTTAGAGAAAGAGAGCGACTGTACTCCAGCACTTAATTCTTACCATGCACATCTTTGGTCCTATTATTTAATAATTGATTACTTAAATCACAATTATTTATTTCCCTTAAAATGAACTTCTCTAATGTGCAGTATGATGCTTAGTTGCTTTTTGTTGGTTTTTTATAAACTCTTATACATCAGCATTTCAGTACCATAGTTGAGTGATAATGCAGCAAAACTCTATGCTCATAAAACTAAACACTCTTCCTTAAAATGACTTTTTACTGTGGTTTTGGAACTGCAGCTCATATTCACACCATATGTTCACACGCTGACTTCCTATTCTTTAATTTGTTGTGCTCAGGCAATGATTCACTTCCCTGTGTCTTCTTGATACAGGTTTTGCTTTCATTCTGTGGGACAGTGCTAATGCTTTAAAATGTTTGTCTGTGTCTCTTTGTCTCTCAGGTAGACATTAGGAAATTAAATCAAGCATATTCCAGTGTCAAATCCTTTTTGTTCCTTGCTAGAATACATGTTTTTCCAGTGCTGTAAAACCAACATGGTCTTTGACAGCAGTAAAGTGGTGTACAGCATACAATTATTTGAAGAACAAGTAATCTTTGTGGCATAGTGTTGTGCTAAACAGCGCTAGACTGAGCTGAACTGGGTCCAGGGAAGGGATTGACTCCCTCCCTCCGTCGCTCCCTTCTCAATATTCATTGTCCACTCTCCCCCCTGCTTTATTTCTTCCTCTGAAAGGGGGCCCAGTGTGGTAATGAGATGGTAGTGGGTGGAAGGAAGTCTCTAAACAGGGTTGTTTGCACTGTCTTTGCAGTGTGCGATGGTGATGACTTTACCGTTATTTGGTCTATGCTGAAATGCTAATCTTCTAGGCTATGCTAAATTACTCAGCTGCTACTTCACTTATATTTAAAAATGCTTTTTAACTTGAGAGGGATTGTATTTGTGCCAAAAAACTTAGGACTGCAATAATAGAAAATGATTTCAGCAACAGGAATTTGTCAACAATCTCTGTGGTTTGAAATTTCAGTGTCTAGTTACAAAATTCACATTCCTTGTACCAAATATTGGGTACAACAGGAGATTAATGCAATAAAGCATCACGAGATTTTTTTTGGTTTTGCAGCTAAGTATATTTTGATTTCCTAATATACTTAGTTTATTAGCAACTCAGTCTGCAATCTAGAAATGTGCAATTTAGGTTACACTCTAGCTTATTGAAAGGTTTAGCACTGGAAATTAATAAGCACTTAAATATGAAATGCAGATAGAAAATGAGAGATAGGGGAATTCATGTCTGGGAACAAAAAATGCCCCATACAATTAGAGTAGACTAGAGGAGAAGATTAGCTTGCTGGCCTAGCTCCCAAAATCCTCTTTATAATGCTGTTCATTGCATCTTGGACCTTAGTTAGCGTTGAGAACAACTTTAATAACAAGGACCCCCTGAGCCCAGGGAGGGAAACAATGTGACTTTGGAAAGGTTACCTTCTTGTTCTGTAGTGCCAACAAGAAAATCAAGAGACGTTATCTAACTTTTTTTTTTAATATTACTCTATATAGAGAGGGCTAGATGTATCGAAATTTAAAACTGGTGAAAGGTTAATTCTCTGAGGAGAATCAAAAGCAGCAAATCTAAGCATTAGCTGTACTGAAGCTGTTCCCAGTTAGTCTCTTTCTATGTTAGGGTTTGGAATTAATTTTAAAAATATGCCCTTGATTTACCTACTTATTATGCTATGCTTTAATGAGTAAGTATTTCTCAAATGACTCCTAATAAAATTCATATATGTATGATTTTCTGACAATCAGAACCATTTGAGTTGTTTTAAATTTCAAGCAAACACGGTGAAAATTCCTGTTTCTCTGGAGGCATTCCAAAGGACTCAACTTTCACAGTTCTGAAGAATAAAGATACGCAAATAATTAAAAATACGTTCACACAAGCTAGGTTCATCTAATAAAATATCTAGCCAAAACTACTGAACCAGCATAATGGAAATACTAGGTCTCGACGGGAAGTGTACAATCATGTCAACCACAGATTGTTATCAAGGACATACATAATGAAAAAATACACAGTCTCTTTTTAACTTTTAACTTTAATGAGTGTTATGCCTCTTCTTCGGGAGCCCAAGAAACAGAAATTATGCTTGTACTTTGAGAGAGAAGTAGTTTCTGTTTGCCGTTTTGCCTTTTCTCAAGCAAGCCCAAATAATAGCCGTGCGTTTTTGGAGTCAGGAGCACAGTTAAAATGAATAGAAGAGGCAAAACATATGGCTGCATATTAGTTAAAATGCTCCAGTGTTTGTTGCATGTGGTAAATGCTTTTCAGCACTTTGTGCAAGCTGTACGAGTCTCGTGTTGCTGAAGTATCCTACTGTGTAAATGTAGCCATCTTGAATCTAGTAAAACTTTATACCTAGATAATAAACAAGAATGTCACTGATACAGTACTTTGAATTTATGGAACTTTTCCGGTTTCCCAGCAATGCACACTATCAGCATGATAATTTATAATGGTTTGTGACAAATGTTGCTGAGCAAAGAGGTGTGTGGTTACATTCAGATCAGATGTCATTATCTAGGGAGCAATAAAAATTTCACAGACACTAGGTTAAAAACATTAAGAAAATGAATGTGAAGCTTCAGAAGAAAAGGGCTTAAGAAAGGTGGAGGGTTGGGTAGAGAAAGCCCAATAGTGGTTTCCTTACTGACAAATTATTGACTTTGTTGGCAGACTTGACTGTATTGTTTCACAAGGTTTTCATAGATATACCACACAGCACAGTTGTTTTATTGGCCCTCATTTATAGACGTAGAGAATAAATATCATCCTTACTTGACAATTACAGAGTGTATACACAATGCTGTCAAATCACTTGGAATGGAAAAATTGCCCATTTTGGAAACATTCGAGTTGTAGAAGGAGAGATGTCAGAGATAATTATTCTTTATATTGCATTTACCAGGGATTAGTTACACTGATGAGATTAGAGCTGTATAGAAATTGCAGTCAGTTACAGAATACAGAGTAAAAAATACCTATGTTTGTTTATATAGAAGAAAACAGCTCCTCCAGATCCTTGGGTAAGGAAGAAATCATAGCTATCCAGACCTACAGAGTGAAACTGTAGCCCCATGGATCTCCTATAGACCTTAATGACGTTAGAAATTCATCCATCCATTTTATTTCTAAATAATGTCAATGGATTTATGCTATAAATCTGTAGGTATAACAAACCGAGGCTGGTAAAATAAACAGGAGCAAGGCAAGCCACGGCTTAGCCTTTCCTTAGTTTCTGCAAAGCTTAAGCTTTCCTTTGCTTTTGTCCAGATCCCGGTTCTTATTCTTGCATGCAGTGAGGTCTGCTTTGTGCAGACTTTGTGCCTCGTGTTTCTCTTCTGCAGGGGCGGTTTGAGCCCTTTGGGTTGAGCTGATGGGAGTGAAAGTGTCCATGTCCTAGCTGCCTGTCTAGAGGAGAACGACCTGTAGAGGACATTGCTGGGCTGCCCATCAAGCCTTGCCTGTCAGAAGGGTCCTATCAATGGCTCCACACATGATAGCTGCTTTCTGACCGCCCAGAGGTGCGGCTGGAGCCTAACTCTGGCCTTACCAGCCCTGAACTGCTCTCACAAACTGCACCAAGGACATCTCAGGTGTAATGGAGGGTCTGGGCCCAATGCAGCCCCGTTGTCGTTGGAAGAGATGGGAATATTGCCCTCCACTTCCACAGACCTGTCTGCTGTTGTTCCTTAAGGCTGTGAGGAAGGGTGTAGCGCAGGCCCTGTAGGACTGGTTTATGACTGTATCAGTTGTTTTAGTGGCAAATGTCAGTCAGAGCTTCCCAATTCCCTCTCCCTCCACTGCTGTTGAGTGTGGCAGGCAGTGAGGTGCCTGCAGCTGACACTGCAAGGTGAAATGGCAGAGCTAG